GAACAACCGGTTTGACGGATCAGTGTAACTTCGTAGTGGGCCATCGTCAACAGTAAATCCATTCGCCCACATCACAAGACTCACTGTCTGCTAAAAAAAAATCACCTTTAGTCAAATGGAACATCATTTCAATGGATCACAGTTAAAAATTTGCAAAATCCGATAAATTACGGATCGCCGCTTGCAGCAAAATATCGTTTCAAGCTCATCATGCAGAATGAGCTATCTTCAGATCAGTCAGCTGCAGCCAAAACTCAGCAACATATCATTTATGAAATAATTGGCCAACGCACGGGCTGCCCGTGCGAAGATGCGTTTTTTACATAGTTTCCCGCACTTTTTGTCGCAACCGGCATCGGTTTTTTCGGCAAATGATTCTAGCTAAAGAAATTAAGACTGGCCGCCAGAACTGGCACGGAACATCCCCTTATAATTTCAGCTTTCTAGCTTTCCTGGCTCCTGAGTTAGCAGCTTACTGAAAAAAAAACTTCTCGGCCCGCACGTGAATACCACGCATACCAGATGTCTGGAATTGAGCTCATTGAGACTTACTTGGAAGGGGAGCATCCTCTTAAAACTACAGTGTTCTAGCTTCTCAGACCCCCGAGTTATCAGCTTACCCGAAAAAAATTTTGGCGAACCCGCACGCTGGTACACGCTTACCAGGGGGCCGGGTTTGAGCACATTAATGCCTACTTGGGCGAGGAACATCCCCTTAAAATTTCAGCCCCCAAGCATTTCTGGTCCTCGAGTTAGCACCTTACCCGTGAAAAATTTTGGTGGGCTCTCACGTGGGTACCACACGGGTAAGACTACCCGCTTTGAAGATGGGGGCTCGCACGTGCATTTAGATTAAGTTCTCAAAGTTTCAGCCTTGCAGCTTTTGTAGGTCTTAAGATGAAAAATCGGTGCAGAGGCCTTGCGCACACACAGACAACCTCTCGTCAATATGCGTTTTCCGCATAGCATAGTTGCAAAATACGCATAAAAATGAACAATTTTCGTGTAGCGGCCGTTTTCTGATAATGACCTAACTGTTCAATCAGCATCACCTAACTGTTCAATCAGCATTTTTCCAACCAAAACTTTTAGATGCCCAAATGTGAGGGCCACGCATACTTGGAGCTAAATTTGAAATACTTGAACTATACTTGGGCAGGGAGCATTCCGTTAAAATTGAAGCTTTCCAGCTTTTCTGGTTCCAGAATCAGCAGTTTTTTCGCCGAAACTTTCACATGTCTGTGCGTGAGTGACATGCGTACCTGGGGGCTCAACTTGAAATCCTTATGTTGTAAATGAATGGGGAAAATCTCCTTAAAATTTCAGCCTTCCAGCTTTTCTGATTCCCGACTTATCAATTTGCCCGTCAAAACTTGAGACGTGTGTGAAGGTTGGTACTGCAGTCCTGGGTGGCAATTGGCTACTTACGAAACTTCAGCGCCGGAGCTTGCTTAGTTGGCGAGTTGAACTATCCGGATAAACACACATACATACACACTTATGCACATAAAAATACACACACACACACAAACAAACAAACATATATGCATGCATACACACCACAGGTCGTCACAATATGCGTTTTTGCATTTGTACATGTCAAAAAAAAAAAAAAGAAATTGGGAAAATGGGTTAAAGAAGGTGTCTAAAAATTTTTCATTTATTCACAAATCACAGTAAACTTGCCACATTGGATGCCGCAGTGGTTGGTTCCAGCGCTTCGGAAGGTTGCACGGAGTCACCCAAACGATAGCCTCGACCTTCCAATGCCACCCTCAGTGCATTGCGAGAATTGAAACGGGCATTTTCATCCGCCGTCAGCGCCGTGGCACCGTGAGCACGCGCTGCATCGAAAAAATGCGATATAATGTCTTCTGCACGAGAATCCGAGCTCTGCGGTCCAAGCACTTCTTGCCCACTGGAAAAATGGACGAAACACGATGAGCAGAGAATGTCAATTTTTCACAAACAAGCAAATTGACCGATAATTTACAGCTCTTCGCACTCTGCAATTTCCGAAACAATGGCAACTACTACAACTCGGCTCGGCTTGGCCGGCGTTATACACGATCTGCGAACGATTTTTTTCGGGTGTCCTTACCCTACTGCGGCAGTGGACGTTGGACGCCGCAGGCGGGGTGATTATGGAGGAGAGCCGTATGTGCGGGTCCCGGACGCGGGGAGTGGAGGCAAGAGGAGGAGGTTAACTGGGTGAATTAAGAGAGAGAGGAAAGAAGTGCTTGGTGGGACAGAGGAGGGCTGGTGCCACAGGTTTTTGACGCGGATACGCGGGGTACAGGAAGGGCTCAGGAGTGGGGTGGACTTCAGAGAGCACAGAGGGAGGGAAGGGGGCAAGGGCGGGGGGAGAAGAGCTAGCAATGCATGAGCATAATTTTTGAGTTTGGGATCCAAGACACGAAGAGGGGGTTGGGTGGGTTTAAGGGGGGTGGTGTGTGCCGATCTCGCGCGCGGAGAGTCGGAGTAAGGAGAGGGAATTGGGTGGGTAAGCTGAGTGAATAAGTGGCTTATTTGCCTAGGCCATGTAAGGAAGAGGAAAAAGGAGGTAATTGGTGGAAAGGAGAGGGAAATGTGCTGCTGGTTTTTGCTGCGGGATTGAAGTTATTTTGCAGGGAGGATTTCAGGAAAGAGTAAAATAAATAGCAGCGCGCACCAGAATAGCCAGTGCGATCATGCGTTTTGTGCAACCCCATCCACCGAACGATTGCCTGTCAGTGATTTTCATTGCTTTGCAAGTTGTTAGGCTCTTACGTGATCCTTGACTGCAGCAGCGAAAGACAGGGAAAACATGAAAGACAGCTTATTTTTCCAATAAAAGCTTCGCTTCATAGAAAACGATGAGTAAAATGAAGCGTAAAACGAAGAGCCGGAGCGCCGCATGTTCAACAGAAGAACGCTGGCGGTGTTGAGGCGAGGCGCGAGTAGCGCTAGTAGTAAGACGAAGCGGTCGAGTGGTTTGTCGATCCGTTGATTATCCAAAAATCACTGGCGACGCGCACTGGGAGGCCCCGTGCGATCATGCGTTTTTGCAGTGTATCGTGCTGTAATAAGATTACTCGAAATTCCGCTAGCTAAAAACCTCTTGTACATACTGGTCCTCGAATTTCGGGAACTTGATTATCCACACTATACTCAATTGGACAGGGAACATTCTCTTGAAATCCCAGGGTCCCAGCTTTCTCAGTTCCCGAGTTACCCAAATTGCAACCAAAAAATTTCACGGGGCCGTGCGTAGCCACCACGCATAA